CCGCCGCAAGCGCCGAAAAAAATGAATTATGAAATTAGCGACATGCGTTCGCGCCAGGGCGCCTGGGACACCCAGAACACCCGGGGCACCGCCCGGCCCAACCGGGACACCTCCCAACCACCGGCGGACCAGAAATAGACTTTCGCTCCTACTGACACCCGGGACACCCGGGACACCGCCCGGCCCAACCAGCCAAGGGCGGACGGGCAACGGACTTTCGTTCCTACTTCGGCCTAGCTCAAACAGGATCACGCGCAGCTTCGCCTCGCCCGCGCGCACGACGCGAACGCGAAACCGAAACGGATTTCCCGGCGGGGGGTCTCCGTTCACTCCGATCTCACCCCCCAACCTCCGATCTCCCCACCATGGCGGGCGGGCCCATGTCGACCCCTTCGGGGGCGCCCTCAAATCGCGACTGCAATTGCCTCCAATGCCCCGCTTCACGAAGTCCGACGGCGGCGAGCTTGAGATCGCTCGCGCAGATTACCAGAAAGATTCTAAGTTCTGGATGCAAGCGACAGCTCCTCCAGCATGGGATGGCCGAAGACCTGGGGAGATCACGCCCCTCGCAGCGGCCCCCGAAAACGGCCCCCGGCATCGGGGCGCCCACAGAGAGGCAGGAGGAGCGGGCGCGCCTGACCCCGCACGCGCGCCCGCATTCCAAGCCAGGCCCCCCTGGGGGTCTGGGACCTGGTCGAGGCCCGCCCAAGAAAGACTGGGCGCAAGCTTGTTGAGCGTCAGGCCGTTCTGTCCGCGCCCGGGGAATAGGCACTGCGCGTCGGCGGCCTTGCTGGGCTGCTCGCGGCAGGACTGCTAGATAGTTCGCGGAATAATGCGACCCGTTTGTCTTGGCCTCTTCCATCCGAGCCGCCGACAACGACCCCCCCCTCGCACTTTCGTCAGGAAGCGCCCCGGGCAACTCGACATTCTCTTCTGCGAAAGACGAGAATAATATGCCGACGCGAATGGCATGCCCCCTGGTTCCTCGAAAACATCCGGCGAAGTCCATCGCCAGGCAATTCCGCGAATCGGGCAGCTCGTTCAGCCTCCCTGCTGCCGAGAACAACGGCCCGGTTTCGCTCTCGATCGGGATCAGACGCTACCCGGCAGCCCCTCGCGCCTCAGCGCCCACTGCGGCTTCCGCGCGGGCCCGACCCTTGGCGACCTCGATTCCAACCATTGATCGGCCCCTTTTCCATCGCCTCGGCCTCGCTCAATTCCAGGCGACGCATCTGGCGCTCAGATCACCCCTGCAATTGCGAAAACGCGATCGCGGGATCTCTCTGTTGAGCGGCCTCCTACGCCGCGACGCACTCGCCGACACTCAGCCGGTCGAAGCTGCACGGGTCGCCCCTCGCCCTCGCGGGCGGGGCCTCCTCAGAACTGCGCAGCGGGGCCTTCGACGCATCCCCGATCGGGCTCGCCTATCCGAGGGGGGCATCCCGGATGGCAGCATCCGCGTCTCTCGAATCGCTTGCCCCGTAGGCCCTACGAATGCTGATCGTCACTGCGAGATCGCCGCCGACCTCGGGCGCGCGCGATGGCGCCCGGCGGTGCCTCTCTGCAACGTTCGCGCCCCCCTCAACCGCATCCTCTTCTTCCTCCTTGAAAGATGGGAACTTGCTCTGCAGCCACTCCCCCGCGCGCCATCGCCAGGGGCCGATGGCCCGATCTCCGCGCCGACGTCGGGGAGCACGCTCTCGGGCGCATCGGAAGCAATCCCTCGATAGCTCTTCGCAGCGCCCATCGATCCAGGCGCGCCAGACGGGATGATATCACTATGCCAACCATGGGACGCAAAGGGACACACCAGCACCGCGCATCCTCCTCGGAGGTGGGCGCCCGACCCGACCGCATAGCATAACCAGATAGCGGCACGGCCCGAAAGCGCCCGCCACGGCGCGCACACCATAGGAATTGCCGGCGCGCGCGAGGCCCCCTGTGCGGCGACGCGCACGCAAGATTGGCGCGTCGGGGCGCCGCCGAAATCACTCTCGCCGCTCGCGGAGGGGCAGGCGCGGCCATAGCCAGAGGCCCAGCGGCTCGCCCACCCCTCCGCCCCCCCCCCCACGCCGGGTCGGTCGGGCAAGCGCGCCCGTCGCCGCCGGCGACCTCTCTGCGCTCCCCATCCGCCAAGATCATCCCGAATTCCTCCTTCGTCAGAAGGGCTGAAATCATCGATCTACGCCTGCCCTTGCGGCGGGGGGCCCTTTCCAAAAAAATTGGGGCGCACGCGTCAGAAGCGCCCCGCGCGTCTCTCGAAGGCGACTCGTTAATGCCTGTCGCCCGTGCGTCGTTCAATATCGACTTGGTCTGGATCTTGCGCGGCGCTCCAGGCGCTGGTCGGGGCATGGGAAAATATTGCAACATCTGGCCGGGGTCGCGCAAGGATTCTCGTCCACTCCCCAGAATCATGAACCCCCTCCTGGGAATAGAAATACTGCCGTTCACGCGGGGCCCTCCCAACACCGATTTCGCGAGACCCATGAGTCTCAAACGGCTTCTCGCCCGCGCTGCAAGCTGCCTATCGCATTGCAGCTTCGGCGGCGATTGCCATGGCATTCAACGCAATGGAAATGACCCTTCGCAGTTTCGCCTGGAAGCCTGACGTATGCTAGATTGGTGAACAGACCTCGACTTTCGAGTAGTATCCTCATCCTTCTCTCCTAACTCGGGGGTCGTTTTGTGAAGATATTCTGGGCGAAATGAACCATGATATTGGTCGACGACATGGCGGCGCGCGCGGCCAGCGCGCGTTCCCTGTCCCAGCTACGATATGCACGACGCGCACCGTCTGTCAGTGCATGAGCCAAACGCGCGCAGCGGCACGCGCATGGAAACTTACAAGAAGGGCGGAGGGCACGAAGGTAACGATTGGGAAGGGGGCCACCGAGCGAACCGAAGCACGCCAGGTGGGCAGTGCGACAGCAGAAGGAGGCCGAGCTTTCGGCGGGAACGGCGGGGCGAACACGACACGACAAGAGAAGAACGGGGAGGGCGGAGGGAGGCGCGGCTGAAATCCACATCCAGCCGTGCACGGCGCCAAGGGCAAAGGTGACGGCAGAATTTCATGCCCCACTTTGCACGGCGGCCTATGGAGGATTGCCCCCCGCCAAAGGGAAACGCAACGGCAGAATTGCACACCCAGCACTGTCCGGCGGCCACTGGCAAGGCGGACTGCCCTCCCGCCAACAGGAAAACCGCGGCAGAGTCCACATTCCGCCCTGCCGGGCGGGGGAGGCACGGCAGAATCTTGCACCCCCTCGGCGGCGGCGCCCTGGAGCGACGGACTGGCCCCGCCAAGGGGACAGGTGCGCGAGCGATGGAAAAGCGGATCGCGCCCTCCCGAAGGGACGACAACGCGGCCGTGTTGCAGGGCCCAAAAGGGCGGCGTAGAGGACGCGCAGCAGGAGTGGGCCGCTAAGGAGAATGTCGGCGCCAGCGACCGCAGAGATCATGCGGGCAGCCCTGACAGGATGCGTGATCGGAGAGCAACGCTTGGGTCGGGCATGTCCCCCTACGGGCGGAGATTGGGCGAAAATCAGAAAAAACAGACAGAGTACCCCCAAAAAAACAGCAACGAATAATCCAAAAGTGGTCCCCGCACGATGCTTTAACCATTTTTTGAACCTTCCCACTGCGGAGGGACAGGCCCGACGGAACCCTGGCAGGATGCGCGGTCGGAGAGCAGCGCCTCGGGGGGGGGGGGCCGCGGCGCCCGCTCCTGGCAGCCCGGGCCGAGCCCGGCCGCGGCCGGGCGGCGGGCCCCGCTCGGCCGCTCGCGGCGCAGGCAGCCGCGGCCACCGGGCGGGCTGGGACCGCGGGGCATTCCGGGGCGACGGGGGCTCGGGAGACGGGGCCGGCGCCGGGGAGGGAAGGATGGCAGGAGCAGAAAAGCCTCGGAGGCCCGCGCGGAGTTCTCGGATCGGCGCCGGGGGCCCCCCCCTGGCGGCGCCTCTGGCGCCGCCCCTGGCGCGCCCCGTCCAGCGCGGATCCAAGACATCCGCGCGGACCTCCGAGGTTTTTCCTTTATGTCATTCTTCGTTCCCCTAGACTCGGAAGACGGGGCCGACGCCGGTGAGCACGTGGAGCGGGAGCCACCTGGCACGGTTGAGCCCCATGGCGACCCTGAGAGCGGACTTCCCTCTCCTGGCCCGTGCCGAGGTGGACGTAGTGAGACGGCATGAGCGACGAGCAGTGTACCACAGTGCGGCACTCCTCCCAGTGCTGGCGTGGTGAAGTTGATCGGCAGCACGCAGGGGGCGGGCTTGGCCAGGGTCTTGGCCCAGGTGGACCAGCGGAGCCCGAGGAGAGCCGCCCCGACCATTTGTCCTGCGGGGGGGTGGGGGGGGCGACGGTAGCGTGGGGGGAGTGGGCGGCGCATGTGGCACCGAGGCATGGCCTCGACTCCCTGGCAGCGCTCGCCCCGCAGGGCGAGAATGCCATGAGCTGCTTCCACCAGTTGAGTTTGGCTGAGGGGACCAGGGCTGCCTTGCGGGAGTGCCGGCTCGGGCCTCGAAGAGGCGGGCGCGCTCCGCCTACCCGCCCGGGAGCCTGAGGCTGAGGAGGCGCCGAGCCAGCTCCGGCACGAGACCAGCTCCGACGGCTCCCTCCGCTGGCGATGTGGCACCATAGTCGCGGTACGGTCGGACCTAGGACCGACGAACATTCTTCAAGAACATGAGACCCTCCGCTGGCCAAAACACCCCAAACCATAAGATCACTCGAGGGTGCGTCCCCAGGATGCAAAAGGATATCCAACAAGCACGAAATACATTGGGGCACCCTCCCCGAATCGACCTCGATCTCGTGTACCTCGGTCCGACTGCATAACATCCACGAAAAGTCGAACGCACCAATTGCGCCGAGCATTGCGGATAGAGTCGGATAGAGCCTGAACTGCGTTGGCAAGGCCGGGGGGGAGACCCCGACCGCGATCCGTGCGCAAGCAGAAGAGGCCGGCGCGCGTGACACACTGCGGGTGACGGCGCATGCCCGGCGCTGCGGCCACGGCACATGCAGAGCGACAGCGAGAGGTGCGCTGGCGGCCGAGACGCGTAGGCGCAGCGCGCGACAGCGCAGCCAGCCTGAGCAGAAGGGAGCGGTGCCGTGAAGAGACACGCCGAGAGCTCAGCAGATCTCCCCCCCGAATATGCTCGTGCTCCTCCTCCTCCTCCATCCTCCGCCCATCCATGCCTTCCTCCGTCTGACTGGTTCGCGCCATGCCTCCTTCAATCCTCTCTTTCTCTCGTCCTCAGGGACCGATCACCACGATGTTTAAAACGAAATGTCGTTCACAAGGAACAACGAAACGAGGCCCAACGTTCAAAACGGACGTTTAAACGAAGCCGGTGCCAAACGAAAACGAACGACGAACCCGGGCGCTCAAAAACAACAACGAACAACGAAACGAAACAACAACGAAAAACAAAACGAAAAACACAACAAGGGCCCAAACCAAGCTAAACAGCGTTGCGGTCGGTCCATGCTCGTCCTTCATCCCTTCCTCCCCCAGTTGCTATCCTCCCTGGCAAGAGATCTGCCCCCTCACCACGGAGGCTGCGCGCAGCATCTGTCACCGAAGCAGCTCTGGCCCAATGTTCCGAGCCGCGCCAGGCCGTGGCGAGGAGGCGGGCCCGAAGACCCAAAACAAAACAACAACAACAAAAACTCGTCCTCCACCTCTACCCTCCAAGTATGGATCCCCCCCCCTCCTCCTCGCCATCGTCATTACCAGCATGACCACCAGCAAGAGATCCATACTCATCACACTCGTCCTCACCATCACCACGGCCGCCACCTTCACCATCAGCGTTTTCCGTAAAACCACTTTCAAACATCCGCCTCTTCTTCCTCCATACTACGTTATGTCATCAGCACCGCACCGACAATGGCAGCATATATAATCATTTATAGCATGTTGGTTCCCTTCCTCACCATCACCACCGCCATGCCCATCATTAATCATCAGCATCCTCCTTCTCCTCCTTCTCCTCCTCCTCCTCCTCCTCATCATCATCATCATCATCATCATCATCATCATCATCATCATCATCATCATCATCATCATCATCGTCGTCATCAAATTCAACAGCATCACCCGCTTCATAAACATCACCATCACCATCACCATCACCATCACCATACGCATTACCACCGCCACCACCATCATCGTCTTCATCAGCATCACCACCACCATGGGCATAATCATCGTCATCATCGTCATATTTGTCATCATCATCATCATCACCACCACCACCATCATCATCATCATCATCATCATCATCATCATCATCATCAAAATCATGATAATCATCATCATCACCACCACCACCATCATCATCATCATCATCATCATCATCATCATCATCATCAACAGCATCATCATCATCATCATCATCGTCAGTCGTCATCGTCATCGTCATCGTCATGGTCCTCCTCCTCACCATCATCAGCACCACCACTACTATCACCGCCATTATCATCAAAATCATCATCATAAATGTCAACATCACCATCATCATCATCATCAGCATCAGCATTATCATCATCATCATCATCACCATCATCATCATCATCACCACCACCATCGGCAGCAGCACCACCACCATCATCACAATGGTCATCATCATCAACATCATCGTGATCGTCATCACCATTATCATCAGCACCCCAATCACCGTCATCCTCATCCCATTATCATCAGCACACAAATCGTCATGGGCATCATCATCATCATCATCATCATCATCATCGTCATCATCATCAGCATCATCAGCATCATCACCATCATCATCATGATCATCATCATGATCCCAAGCACCATCAGCACCAGCACCATCATCAGCATCATCATCATCAGCAGCACCATCAGCAGCACCATCATCAGCAGCATCAGCAACATCATCATCATCATCATCATCATCATCAGCATCAGCATCAGCATCATCATCATCATCATCATCATCATCATCATAGTGATCATCATCATCAGCATCATCAACATCATCAACAGCATCATCATCAGCATCAGCATCAGCGTCATCATCATCATCCTCATCATCATCCTCAGCATCAGTATCACCATCAACATCATCATCATCGCCATCGTCATCATCATCAACATCGCCATCATCCTCCTCATCAGCACCAGCACAAGCATCATCATCATCATCATCACCACCACCATCATCATCATCATCATCATCATCATCATAATCAGCATCATCAGCAGCATCAGCATCATCATCATCATCACCATCAGCATCATCAGCAGCATCAGCATCAGCATCGTCATCGTCATCAGCAGCAGCATCATCATTATGATGATGATGTCATCATCACCATCAGCATCATCATCAGCATCATCATCATCATCATCATCCTCAGCATCAGCATCGGCTACTCCATCGTCCCCCCGCCCGCCTCCCTCTCCGCCACCCTCCCCACAGGGAGGGCGAGGGAACCACCAGCTCCCTGTCGCTCTCGAAGCGCCCCCACCTGGCGCACCCCGGGCGAGGCGAGGAGCCTCCCGCCGGGCCAGCAGAGCGGAGGGGCAAGGCCCCGCTCTTTCGGAGGAGGGCCCCCTCCTTCTCCTTCTCCTCCTCCTCTCGTCCCGAGGAGCCTCCTTCTCCTTCCTCCTCTCCTTCTCCTCCCTCCTCCTTCTCCTTCCTCTCCTCCCTCCTTCCTCTCCTTCCCCTCCTTCCTCTCCTTCTCCTTGCGGAGGAGGAGAGCCTCCTCCTCCTTCCTCCTCCTTCCCCTTCCTTCTCCTTCTCCTTCTCCTCCTCCTCCCTCCTCCCTGTCTTTGACGCCCTCGAGGCCCGGCGAAGGCACCCGGAGGCGGAAAAAACGCCGAGATCCCGCCGCTCCCACTCTGTCTGGAGCGTCGGATCTCCGGGGGGGACGCGACGTCATGCTCGGCAGACCTGCCGGCACCCTCGACGCCTGGCGGCGCCTGCCCTCGACGCTTGGCGAGCCTGTGGACCGCCGCGGTGGCCTTCGTCGACACAGCCCGAGGAGGCCCTGCGCACGCAGCCTATCGGGCCACTGCCGCTGCGGCTGGCAGCGGATCTGGTCCAGGATCCGCCGGAGGCGTGCCGCCGAGGGTCGAGGACGATCTCTAGAGATCCGACACGCCCAAAAAGTGTGAGCGGCGGGAGTTGGGCAGTGCTCGGCCTCCGGAGGCCCTCGCGGGGTCACCCTCGCGACCGAGCTCACCTCCATGGCGCTTCAAAACCGTGGTTGTGCATGTTGAAAATAAGTTCGGGCGGGTCTGGGCACACTCCACGATCACCTGCAGCACTCGACCAGGTACAAGAGCCACCGAGCGGCATCGCACTCGTTCTCCGGCTGCCACGCTAAATTCGGAGAGCGGAACGGCTACTCCAAGTCGTCACGAAGGGGGCGACCTTTTGCAGACATGCATGTACTTGGACCTCAGATTGCCGAGCGAACCGCTCGCAGGAACACAATGCTGGTAGCTGGATGCACCTTCATCAGATTGCTCTGATTGAGGGAGCTTCTCTCGCCCTCATGCTGCAACGGCGCCCGAGCGTTCCAAGTCACTACGCGTAGTGAAGGAGCATTGGCAGCACAAAACGGCGACAAGCAGCGGAAGAGCCACCAGACGTCAAAGACACCACGCGGATTCCGCTTCAGCCTGCACAACGGGCTTGACGAGGGAGAGCATGTCGGCCTTCAAGAGGTGGTACTTGGCCAGCCGCTGCTCGCCCCAGATAAACGCAGTTTGCTTTTCACCTGTGTGCGCGGCCACACGCATAATGCGGTCCATATTAGGGACAGCGCGCCGCGCTCGCGGTCGGTGAAGAGGCGGAGGGCAAGGTGAGTTCCAGCAATCGCCGCTCAAGCGCGACGCAGCAGGATCGCGCTCCGAATCTGTCATCGCGACTTGCCGGGGCCGAAGTGGACGCGGCACCGGTCGGCGCATGGGACGTCCAGGGCAAACTCGCGCCACGCCCCAACAAGGCGAATCCCAGCCAGAACACGAGCCACCTTCCGAGACGCAGGGGCGCAGGGGCAGGGAGCCCCGAGAACTTGATATGAAACTTTTTAAACGGGGCCTGGCCGACCAACTCGAAAGAAAACTCTTCAGCGCTGAGGCCGAAGGAAGGGGTGAAGGGCTCGAGCGCATCCATGACCAGGGAGGAAGCGGCGGGTTTCTGGGCCACGGCGACGACCACACACGGGTCGACGTCGCCTTCGCAGCCATTGTCCAGGACAGGAGGCGCAGCAGGCCGCTCCACAGCCAGAGCGAGGGCCTTGCGGAACTTTGCCATCTGCGCGCGCATCGCCTCGAGCTCATTGGACAGCGAATCCAATTTCTGGCCGTGCTCCGACAGCGTCGCGGCGCGGCCGCCCAGCTGCAGCTGCAGCTGGCGCGACGCGCCGTCGACCTGCGGGCGGACGGCGGCCATGATCTGCTCGTCCATCTTGCCAGGCTGAGCAGGTAGCTCAGCACGGAGCTTATCCACCACCTGGAGCACCGACTTATGGGCGCCCGCCATGTCCTGCTTGATGGTAGTAAGCTGCTTCGCCAGGCCGTTGGACAGCTGATCACTCATCACGCATCGAGCGAAGCATCGGATGAAAGACTTCTTCAGCGCACCGCTTGACGATGGCCTCCGAAGTGAAGCCAGGAAGGGGGCGTGGATGAGGCGGAGGAGAGGAGGAGGAGGAGGAGGAGGAAGAGGAGGAGCGAACGTCCACTGAAAGGGACGGCCAGTCGGTCACGGGCGCCCGCGCGGCCCCGCACCGCCCACTAGGCACAATGGCAGCCTCGAGGCCCGACGAGAGGCGGCCGCGGCCGCGGCGTTCCTCTTGAACTGGTCGGAGTTCGTAGCGACAGCGGCCCTGTCTCTTTGATGGAAGTCGGGTCGGGCGTCATCGCGCTCTGGATGCGGGGGAAGTTGCGCGTCTTAAAACGACACCGCCAGGCGCGCGATGGCGCGACGAATGTCGCTCGCCGTCTTGGACCTCGCCGCCGAGGCCCATGCAGGTCAGGATGATGGCAGAAAATTACGTCGCGAGGCCGGCAGACGCGCGACCACATTCTCGGGAATGCGAGGCAGTGCGGTACGTCATCGACGTCGCGCCTGCTCTCGCTGACGGGGCAGCCGAGCAGGCAGTCGCGCTGGCGCAGGTTCACGCGCACGCGGAAGCTGGTTGCCCACGCACCCGCGAGCGTCTCGAGGGCAGGCCAGAGCTTCGACGGAGGTCCACTTGCAAGGTGGGCTCGAAGAGTAGCCCGTGATGTGGCCAGAGAAGCAGGCCACTCGGAGACGCCAATCATGTCGGTCTGCGGCGACACGCCGCCCTCACGCGCGACATCGCTAGGCAGGCCGTCGATCTCCATCTCGCGCAGGACCTTCGGCCGCAAGCCAGCGGCGGCGGGCTCGGCGCTCAGCTGCTCATTCTTCTTGTTCCCGCTGTGCGGCCGCTGCATGGCGGGCCATGGAATAGGTAGCAGGTCGACAGCTCCGACTGCACGCCGACCTGTACCACTTGGTCTCGCACATGTCGGGAGCAACGCCACAGCGCCTCCCAGCGTGACCTGCGAAGTCCGCCGACCCCCTTGTGGATCTCGTAGACGCGTGGGACTGATTCGCCCCCCTCCATAATGCCCCCCTGAGGAGCCCCAAACGTCGAGTTTGACCACCCCCCCCCGGCCCCGGCACGACCCTCGGTTGAACGCGTCACGGGGGGCCAGAGAGCCTCGCAACGGGCCCTGGGGCCCCCGAGACTGTCCAAGCGGGCCCCGAGCCGCCGAAAGATCGAGCCGAGACGCCCCAGATGGCATCCAGACGGCCAAAGGTGCCTCCAAGACGCTCCAAACGTTTGGAATACATATGATTTTAGCACACTCGCCTCTCGTGCATTCACTACGACCACGATGGCCCAAGGCCAAGAGGGCCCCAAGACGGCCCAAGAGGGCCAAGACGGCCCGATAAGCCCCCAAGACGCCCCAGAAGGGCCCCAGAACGGCGTCCACATGCCCCCCCAAGAACTCCAACGACACCCCGTCAACAATCCCTCTGGCTTCAGACCCACAAGCCAGGCACGCTGGCGGGATGGACCGCACGCCATGCGGCAATCGCGCGCCCACGGCGACAACACATATCCCACGGGCCTCGGACCCACAAGCTAAGCACGATGGCGGGATGGACCGAAGGCCATTCGATAATCATGCGTCCACGGCGAACACTGCGAACGTCAGCCGCGGCAAATACAATGATCCCAAAGAGTTTCCGCCAGGGGGTTCTGACTGCCCCCAGTCGACCAAGGGGTCGGCGGATGTGGCGTCAGCCCATAGAATCGACGACGTGGAACATGGCGAACTGCGGGCGACGGAACACGACTGTAAGATCGGGAGCGCACCACTCCAACTGGTGACGGCAGTTGTCGTAGCTCGTGTCCATGAAGACGCTGGGACCCCACCGCGCCGCCTACGCCTCGGTGCGCTCACTCATATCATCGAGCGCCTCGTTGCGCGAGGGCGTCGCTGTCGGGGGGGATGGATATCGCTCGGCATCCTGCGGTTGTTGAAAGGGTCGAGCACGAGGAAGGAGCCCCAGCGAGGGCAACCAAGACTTCATGCGCTTGAGGATCGTCGTCGACTGCATCCAGGTAGAGGGAGGTCTGGAGCTCATGCAGGTATGTTTGTTGAGGAGATCTGGGTTTCCTATGGGCTCCTCTACCTCAGGCCTGGTAACGACCCTGGGCCACGCCACGGCCTGCTGTCTCGGGCGCAGGATTGGTCATGTCGCGACCATGCACCACCAGCGCGAGTCGACCAGCGGCAGCAGCTCGTCGATAGGCAGAAAACAAGGCGTTGAATGCGCGCTCAGTAATGCCCAGCGAACGCTTGATCATCCTGTGGAGAAAGCCCTAGCACGCCGGGTACATATGGTCGGAGACAATCACGTTGAAGCGCTGGGCGATGGAGAGCTTGTCCTCCCAGCATGAGGTACACCACGGATCCTCGATAACTTAACGTGCTGGACGTCGATAATCAGCTACTTCTCGATGTTCACGGAACAGGTTCGACCGCGATTTGATCGTCGTTGTCGCACTCCTCCACATAGTAGCAGCTAGCAGGGCCTCGAGGCCCTGGGGCATTTCCCGCGCCCGCCGTGGCGCTCGAAGGAGAATATGTCCATCTTAGAGAAGCTGGGCGGGGCAGCGCGAAGTAGTTTGCGAAGTCCGTGCAGTGCTGTAGCAAGGAAGCAGGGCGAAGGAAGGCCAAGTTGCCCGATGTGTAAAAGGCGGGAGACAGCGGCGACGCTGCACAACTTGATGCTCTGCTGCAGCGGCGACCTGGCGTCAGCTAGGATCTGGGTGCGCACCCATCACTTACCTGCAGGGCTCTTCCATTGCGTCGATAGTGAGGTAACTAAGCAGCGCACGAAGCTGGCACCCTTGAAGTTCCTCCACGGAGGGGTAGATGTTCTCCAGTGTCTGCTGAATGTGCCGCGTGAGCGTCG